GTTCCAGTTTCCGGATCTACAAAATTGTATTTATGGTTCACTTTGAAATGTTCGAAACTTTCCTCTTCCAGTTTTTCAGTGCAATATGATTTCCATGAATCGGAATATATTGTAGTTCCTTTTTCGATGTTTTTATTTATTGCCTCTAATATAATGCTCATGGATCGGCTTGGCACCATCACAAAGAAACATTCGTTTGTTTCACGACAAACTCCAACAAAGATTCATTGTTGTGGTAAAATCCGTCCCGCGTTGTTTTTGCTCTTCGTGAACATACTTTCAAATCCACTTCAACGATCATACCAGGGCCTCCTATTTTGCGTTGTTGACGTTTAAGTAAAGAATGCACACAAACCTCTCGCATGTAGTTATTCCAATCCACGACTGTTCCGTGACTGATTTACAACTGCTTTTCACACCATTTAACTGAACCATTTAACTTCTTCACTCCAACCATAAATGAATCTTGAAACACTTCAAGAAACTCAATCGCGATGATTCAAACCATGTGCCTTTCCGTATACTTCTTTTACTGCGGCAAGTTGAAAGGTTGCAACGCCATTGAATTTCGTCTCCGAAATGTAATTTCATTTCATGATTATTTTCACAAATAGCAAAACGCCTTTCGCTTGAAAGAATCTGACGGTTTCTTCCTCTGTCCTGGGCAAATCCCAAATTTTCATTGGTTTTTCATCCATTTTTGACATATTTGTAGAAGACGTTAATTTAAGAATTTAAAGACGTTAAATTAAAGATTTACTATGCTTTCATGGTATAACCTCTTGATTCGCAGGTTAATATCACGTGATCCCAAACGATCTCATCTCACGTAAAATACGCTACAAAAATCTGATTCTCTCAGGAGTTATCTCATTAATTTCAAGTTAAATCTCAGTATGGAATACGAGTTTAAATGCAAGAATTATTTCAATATTATAATAAAAAAATTCTATGTAACTGTATGCCAATATTGAAAAAAAAAAGGTAAATCTGATAATAAATCTCAGCGACTTGTTTTGAAAAAGTGCCGTGAAAGGTTATCAGCGAAGATGTTCGCTTTGGCATCAGTTCTACCATTTTCGGCGACTTTATCGATTGCGCCGGCCAAACGGAAAAGTACCAAAATTTTTCTTTTCTTTTCAGTATTTTTAATGAATTGTGCTGGATCCATCATCTGTGAATCGTCACTTTTCCGCTTAGTCAATCCTAGCCATTTTTCCATTTTGAAAATCTAGCTTTGTTTTATTATTTTTTCACAAATATCTAAATGCGCAATATATTATGAGTTCTTCAAAAACAAATGACAATACTCTCAAACCACGTAGAAAAGTAAGGACTGCAAAGCAATAAGAAGAAAAAATACCCGCTGTTAGAGACAGCAAATTGACACAAAATGGGATTCTAACTGAAAATAGAGTAATATGAGCACGGAGGTGATATAAAGGATAGACATTCTAATAAATCGATCAACTCTAAAAGAATTAATGAGATACTATTACCTTTTTATAGAAACTTTTTTTTATTTTCTTTTAAATACAACATCCATTTTTTTTACTCCTTTTAAAAACATCATTTGTGAAATATTTTGTTATATCTATGGCTAAAAGAATATTTGTAATAATATTTTGCTAAAGTCCTTGAACAAAGCTCAGATCACATAAATTTACGAGTGTTATAGAAAAAAACTTTAACAGGACGTTGGAGTATTTAATTTTTAAACGCACCTTAAAGATTAACTTTTTTAATGTAATTTCATAAAAATTACTTGAATAACAATTTAAAATGTGGTAGCTGTGACTATTTCAACTGGTTGACAGTTGAAGTCGTATTTGTAACATATTCTTCATATAATATAAGTTGCTAGAAACATGCAGAGTTTGTTAATAATAGGTTATCTATGATCTGAACTGTTGACATAATTTTAAAGTTAAAAAAATTTTTTGAGAAAGCTGAGTGCACTGATTACTTGAAAATTTCTGATTTTCCTAGATGACATTTTGAAACATAGTAACACTCAGGACTGTCACAAGATGATATTGGTAATCCAGATAGCATTGAAATTAAAATATACTTTTTCTTTCTTTAGCAGATGTTTCCACTAGATGTCAATAAAATTCATCTTTCCAAAATTTTGTGTTAAAATGTGTAGGTGTGTTTTCAGGTTAAAATCCAAAAGACTTGACAAAAAAAGAAGAAAGATTGATGTGAGGCTCTCTGTTCCATATGGCCACTGGGGTTTAATGCATAGACTTAACTGTTTCTCATACAGCTGCTGGGGTTTAATGCATAGACCTACTGTTCCCCACACAGCCGCTGTGGTTTAATGCATAGACTTACTGTTCTTTTTGTTAACTGAGAATTTTTTTTTAAGAAAAAAATTTCTTTTGCAAAATGTAAGCAATATTTATTCATTTCTGTATGAAATTTCTTTTCATAACAATTTTATGCAATATGGAATGAGGATACAAAAAATAGCAATTGTGATTCAATAACTGTGTGTCAGTACTATTTCGTGTGAATGTAAAATGTATAAAAAAATTGCCAAGTGTACTTAAATAATTCAAAAATACCATGTTCAGATTAAAGTGTTGTTTTAGGAAGTTGAATGCCTTTTCATTTCATTTTGCATCTAAATTAAAATCTGTTATCATAATAATCAATACGTCTGTATGAATATCGATCTCTTCATCAGTGAGCAAACTTGACTCTGAGTTATAAGTACACTAAAGAGAAAAAATGTTAAATCGGTTGAATTAACTGATGGGTGAATGTATACAGATGGTGATATAAAACGCAATTTTCTATTAATTGTAATATCAAGCAGTTGCTTGCTCTCTTCCCCCTTTCAACAAATTGTTTCATTGACTCATTTTAAAATTTTATTAATTTCAGTGAAACAAAATTCACAAACTGTGCACTATTCATAATCGCATCCAACAAGCAACTGAGCCTTAGCTGTTCACTAGACAAGAATGCATGGGAGTGAGGATGCATGGCCACTCACTGTCCATGTGCACAGCTTATGATGTCATCAAACTTCCTGTGATTTTCCCCAACTTTGTCATTCAGCTATGGCTGAACCGTAATTCCAAATTTCAAAATTATATCAAATTAAGCATAAACCAACTCTGTATATTTTGTAATAATGGAGGTTTAAGTGTTTCGACAATCTGGAAAAGCATTATAATTTTTCCTTTCTGCTGATCACTATGAAGAAATGCAAGTGTGCAATTAAAAAAAAGTATTAAGATTCTGTTTTACAAACCTCAAATCTCTCTCAAGGTTCACAGGATTTGAAAGTTCAAAATTTCTAAATTGGTCATACAATAATCGATCAGAACACACACAACCCTTCCTAATGCCATTTTGCTCAACCTTTGGCACACAAAATATCTGCAACCCATTATGACATGAATTTGAGAAGTCTTTAGTATGTATCCAGAGAAAGACTGCATCAAAATTACAAGCAAATGCCATGAAATTCCTGTAGATTATGCGAAGATGGTTGATGAGCATGTATTCCAGATGTACTGAATACAATTAATGTCTGCGAAGTTAGGAAACCAGGAACATCAACTGAAATGCATTGGTATGTCTCAAATTACTGTCATACAGGCCTGACCTCATGACAAAGAGCATTCTCTGTTGGAACAATCCATTATTGATAAGAGAGGAGCCATGAAAGGATTTAACTGGTTCAGCCATGATATTCACAATATGTTCAGCCATGATAGCGTCACTGGTTCAGCAGATGTTTTGGTGTGCTCTACAATAACCACTGACTCTTGGGATGCATCTGAAAACATCCTTTAAAACACTGTTCCTGCCTATAGGCATGTTTACATCTTAAATACATATGACAGTCACCTGTTTGCTGAAAGACAGCATTCCCTGATTCAACCATCAATGTGATGTGGAAACATAGTTCAGGCTCCCAGGAAACTCTTTTCTGGTATTGCATGGTCCATTCATGGCTCCCTATAGTCATTAATGTTCAGGATGTTGGGTTAACAAAAGTACACGAGAGAGGCATCTGCTTTGGAACCCTTTCTCCACCATATTAAGTTATTTAAATATGGCAAAGCACATAAGAGCTATCTACTTAAGAAGTGGGATACCTTTCTGGAGGAGTTCCTAAGGGAAAATATCTTGTATTCATGTTACACATAATTCTCCACTAGAGCCTATTGAACTATGTGCTCATATGCAGTTGAGCCTGTATTGTTTTTGGCTGTTGATTGAGTAACCTGAAGTCACATATTTGCCTTTTGTTTATGATATCCATATTCATTGATCAAAGTTAGATATCTAATGCCTCACCATCTACAGTCAATTTCAGTTTTTATTTTCCATTAACAACAGCAGCTTGCAAATATCTGGCTAGCAGTACCATTTCATTTTGTATTAATTCTTAGCCTTCATCATATACTTATATTCATTCAAATTTGACTTAAATATTTGGCCTTCATTAAAATTGCTTAAATCAGCAGTCTTCTGCATTACATGCACAGATATTTGACAGGAATGATAACCCAACCCCTGACAACCATTAAATAATTTTCCCACCTTCCAGAATATCTTCCATTATAGATAATTAAAAAGTAACATAATAAAGAAATTAATATGTCATCGCAAACCTACAATAGAATTGATGTAGCTCCATTAAAATAGGTATAATTGTTAATTTAATAGGTTTAGTTGTTAATTAAAATAGGTATAGTTGTTAATAAAATCATGCAAAGCAAAGTTCCCATGCAGAGCATGAATAATTTGCTTTGGTATTTTTAATTTTTGATTACCGTATTATAAAAGGTCTATTTTTATAAAAATAGCTTAAAATTTATTAAAGATTGATTACAATTTAAATTTTGCAAAGAAACTGATATTTATTTTTATTTTTAATACATGAGTGCCATAGATAGATAAAGAATGCCTGAATATATAACACTGTAATTTTGTAGTATTTTAGATTATCAGTATATGATTTTTATTCCATTTAGATTGGCAACAACATTTCAGAGATGAAGGATATTGTTTTTCCTAATTTTCCTATTCTCACTATCTGTGTGGTTGTAAAACGTCGTTCTATAAAACTTGAAATGAAATATGAGAAATGGAAGAAAGAATTTATATCTGTTATATACAGTTTGCTTGAGATTTCAAAAGACATTCCCAGGGTACACACTTTTTATTATATTTTGTATGATATTTCTTTGTTAAAGATAGCAAAAGAAGAAGTAAGAATAAATTGTATATCTGTTGGAGGAAAGTTATAATATTTAAATTTAGATAATGCATGACTTGCAATTTATTATTGATTTTTTAAAATACATCTTTTTAATATCTTGGAAACTTTTATAGGTATTTAATACATTGATTATAAAATAATATGGTATTATTAAAAATACATTGATTTTTTCCCATATGTTTTTTTTTCCATTTGATATGTTGATATTTTCCAATATGCTTCATGTATATTTTCAGTAATAAATATAAAGTAAAATTTAATGAAGTATAAAGTAAAATTTAATAAAGAATATTTTTTAAGTATTAGTTTCCTAACTTTGTTTTTGATCAACTTTAATTGTATTCTTTTAGTTGATAAATGATTACATGCCTGTATTCATATTTGTGTCATTTTTATTGAAAATATATGAATAATAAAATTATTCATGGTAAATCTTTTCATTAATCTTTGTTCTTTTAACTTATCTAACTTGATGTTTCAAATATTTTATATTTTTAGCCTGATAAAATTTTACTCAGAATTTTAGACAGTGAAGGAATGAATTTATATGCTATTCCTCCTAATGACCAAAAAGTAGAATTCTGCGTTAATTCAGTGGAAAAGGATTTAAAGTATAATCATATAGGTCTAGAACAGTAAGTAATTTTTTGAGTTTCTTTTGTGTATGTTATACACCAACAGCAAAAGCAGTAAAATTGCACAGTTACTGTCAATTTTGTGTCTTTAGTCAATAGGTAGTATATGCCAAACAATATATGTAATACCTGTGGATGGAATCTCTTTATCAATATTTTGTTTAAATTTAGCATGGTAAAAGCAAGAGATTTGTGTAATTTTCAGATATATAATCACTGTGGCAATATGCCTTAGCAAGAGCATGTCCACAACCATGGTGGTAATAGACTGTCTGCATTATGCTATCAAATACGTTCCAAAAACAGATGACATACTGGACTGTAGACATACACTGGCCAACCATCTTTCATTAATGCCTCTCTCATTTTAACCTGCTTCTTCAGTGCCAGAGGAAATAATTTCATTCATGATATTGGGTTCAGAATGTCTCTGCATGCAGTTCAGCTTATATTCTGGTTTACAGATGTGAGTTACAAGCATATTCCTAACCTTCTATCTTTAACTTACTACAACTACCTATGGCTGCTGGTTACAGACATGTTATTATTCATACTAGACCCTCCATGAATGGCAGATGATGTTGACCAGAAGAATTCTGTTTTTGTTAGATTAGCGAAATGCTAAACATAGACAAACTCATATTTGGTATTTTTCACAGACTTCCTGTTTTAATTGTGATTCTGATTATGAAAGCAGATCCATTTGATTGAAAGTAAATAGTTGATAAATATTTTAATCTTTTTCAATTCTGTTATGATGATTTCATTGATTAAAAATAGTTCAAAATGCCTTGCATAAATGTACATGACCTTTTATTCCACATATTGCACAAGAGCCTTCATTCCAAATATTGCACTGCTTTCCCCAACTTGTAGTACTATATTCTGCTAGATTTGTACTCAAAAATCCTGTGGTATAAGCACATGTGGCACTAATCTCACAGTATTTTCTATTGTTTCCTGCAGTTAGTTGCAATGCAGATATATTTGATAGATTTTTGATATGAATACAGAAAAGCAAGGATTTTTGCAAAAGATAGATTTCAATGTTCCTCCCCCCCTGATGAAGTGGCATTGAAGATGATTGAATTCCTCTTCTGTTATGTTCTTTTTTCTTTAAATTTCATTAAATTTTTTAATTGGTGTATTGCTTGTTCAAAAGTTTTGGTTTTAACTTTTTTAAATTCTTTGTTGCATTTATAGAATTATTTGAAATTTATTAATTATGAATTTCAAATTTTTGGCCTTTGTGAAACATTAGTTTTAAATTTCTTACTTTACATATATGTGTGTGCGTGTGTGTAAGATATAACAAAATACGATAGCTGTTTAAAAAAAAAAAATGGCGATCTCAAAATTAACATCCTAAATTTGGTGATCTGCCCCTAAATTCACCTCTTCTCACAGGTTCCATATTTTTCTATCTTACATAATGTTTCAATGCAGATATATCTTACCCAATAAAATAAATTGTAAACCAAAACTCTGAACTGAAACTTTCCCCACTCCTAACCTTCTTCCTCTGAAAGTACTATAACTTTTCCCCTTTTCCGCATAAGCTCTCCAGCCGGCGAGATGCTTTTTTGTGTATGCTGCTGCCGCTTTACTTTCTTAAAACGACGCCGTACTTCAAAATGCAACTTACTGTATTCAAATATAATTAGAAAACGTCTGAAAAAGGTTGATTTGATATGAGTAAAAAAATAAAGATTGCGATTTTTCAAGATACTTTGTGCTAAATTACGTCGTCATGCTTTCCACTCTGCCACACTACGGTCTTCTCGGTCATCTACGCAATATCATAAACTGTTAAAAGTTCCAGTGCTTTCATCTACAGATTTTTTAAAATCATTACATATTTATAAAAGATGTCGTTTTAAGCAAGTAAACAGCAGCAGCTTACACAAAAAGCATCTCGCCGGCTGGAGAGCTTATGCAGAAAAAGGGAAAAGTTATAGTACTTTCAGAGGAAGAAGGTTGGGAGTGGGAGTTTCAGTTCAGAGTTTTGGTTTACATTAATTTGATTGGACAAGAAGTATCTGCATTAAAACGTTTACTTCAGCAGAAAAATCTGGACCTGTGGAGCGTGAATAAGCAATCATAATTTAGAATGTTAATTTTGATACACCAATTATTTTTTTGAAACAGCTATCATATTTTGTTATATATATATATATATATATGATATATTATGTGTCACTGTATATTCATTTATCTAATACGTAAAACACAAAAACACAAATGCTCCCTTTTTGAGAAATGGAATTTTAGGGGTTACAATAAAACTTGCTTTATATTTTTAAGTGATGCATGACAGGTTCCATAATGCATTCCATACAATTAAATATGTTTTGTAAAAGTGATATTATTCTTGTAGGATTAATGAATATTAGTCAAACATTTCTTAAGTATATGAGGGTACATCAGGGTATGCAAAATGTGAAAAGCCAGAGAATGCAGTGCAAGGTAGATTAAAAAAGAAGGCACTTTCTAGGCATTGTTCTGCAAATGAAAGTCAGATTCTACAAACAGTATGTTTACAAAAAAGCACCAGGACGTCTTTACACATAGTAGAATGGTAGAATGATTGGCAAGCTTAAGGAGGAGCATAGTTTGATGCTTGTCTTTCAAGTGTTTGGAACTGATAAAAGTGTTGTTTCACATACTTGGAAAGCCTGCCAAATAACCGCTACAGTTGTAAAAAAGATTGGTCAAGGAAAACACGGTGAATGATGACCAGTATATTGTGTTGCATGTGAAAAGATATTGAAACCAGACAATGAGAACATTGCTCAGCAGTTCTGCACTGCAACCAGATGAGAGGTATCCCAATTTACTGTGACCATATGACTTCATAAAGGTGGCTAATTCTCTCACCATCCTGAATGCTGCATATGATTGACAGCAGCCACCTATCAGCAGCACCACTTACAGTGGTGTAGAGAACACAAAGACTGTACACCTCATCACTGGAATCGCATCCTCTTTACCAGTGAGAGTTGTTTCAGTCTGACAAATGATCCTTAGTGCCACTTGATATGTAAAGAGGTAGGGACATGCTTTCATACCACTAGCATCAGGGATAGAGACTGATGGGGTGGTCTTGCTGTGCTTGTATGCTTATTATGAATGGATGGTTCTGGATGAATGGATGGATGAATGAATTATTATGAATGGATGGATGAATGAATTATTATGAATGGATGGCTTCTTCCTCTGAAAGTACTATAACTTTTCCCCATAGTTTTTAAAGAGGTTTACTTACTATATATCATTTGTGGGAAAGTTATCCTCCCTTATGTATGTCTTTTCTGACATGTCATTGGTCCTGACTTTGTTTTTATGGATGGTAATGCATAGCTGCAAAAACTCTTGCTGTTAAAAAGCTCCTGGAAAGTGAAAATATCCACAGGATAGATTGGCCAATGTGCTCCCCTGATTTTGATCCCACCGAACAGGCTTGGTGTCATGACCTTAACCCTCTGGAGAATAACAGACAACTGAAACAAATGCTTCTTGAAGAATGAGAACTCTTACCCCATGAACTGACAGATAATCTGGTGTTGAGTATTAACAGACAGTACAGCACAACCACTGCAGTTAGAGGAGGTCATATCTCGCACTAAGACTCTTTGGTTGCTTGTTCTCCCTCTTGGCCAGACAGTTTTTTTGTGTTAATGCCATTCTGTAAAAAAGCCTCTTTTTATTTATTCTGTACTGCTTGTATCCTGTTCTTTTTTTCCCCTAATATACTTTTTCCATCCATTAAGTACTAGACTATGCCTCTATAATTTTAATTTCATGACTATCAGTTGATTTTTTGCAGAATTATGGCCAAAACCAAAAGAGTTGCTTAAGTTTTACTCACTAGTGTATTTTAAATTGAATACTCCTTAGTGAGATTTCTGATAGTTGTACTGTATGCCTAGTTTTTATGTAATAAATGTTGAGATTATGTTGAATATGAAAACTCATGCAACCATTAGAATCTTATAATGTACTTATAACATGCATGCATATATGTACACATACATTTGCAAGTACAAATTTAGTATAAAATGTAAAAAAGTCTTTTTGATTTCATTGGAAAGGAAAAAAAAGAAGAATATAATTAAATTTTACAGTTCATGTTAATTAAATTTAATTATTTTTATTCCAATTTGAATTTTTATCTTTCTTTAGATACATAAAACGTTATGAAAAATTTAAGTACATTTTGGATGGAACACTTGAGGAAGAAATTAATTCTTTTCTGAATTCTGATGAAGAACTTGATGTTTACAAGTTTCCAAAAGTAAGATTTTGTAACCAAGATTATTATTTCAGCGCATTTCATAACATTTATATCATTTTTATATAATTTTCTAAAATCTTTTTTCTTGTATATTTAGTGTACTTTATTTAACAGATGATTTTGTGTATTTCATTTATTCTGTTGGCTTTGCAGAAAATTAAAGATTTGCATGCACACAAAGATTTTATAAATTCAGAAAGGAGCAACATTAACCTTAATGTGATAAATTTGAATTGTGATAAGATGAAAAAACAGCTTTGCTCAAAGATTGATCGTATTAGCCAAAAATTAATTAAATATCAAGTTGAAGTTAATGCTGGTCATACACAAAAGTAAGTAAAACATATCTTGAATTAAAAATTGGAATTTTTCAAAATTATTACATGAATAGTTATTTTTTCTTCTGCTGTTCGAAATTTTCTGGCATACAGAATTTTTAGATTAGGAAAACTAATTTTTTTTTTAAATAATTGTTAATTTTCATTAATTATATTTTTTTTATTTATTTAATTGTTTAAATTTTTAATTCAAAATATAATGTGTCTTTTTACTAGAATTTGTGAAGAATTTCGATTAATGCAAGAGCTTTTAATCAGACCTGTTACAAATACTGCAGAGCTTGTAGAAATGTCTGATATTCTAAAAATGGTAAATTTGCATAATTTATTTTGCAGACTACATTTTCATATTTTTAATAGATTATTCAAATTATGATATTCGAATTTCAGCATAATTCATTTCTCAGTGTGAATTAATGTACTATTAAATTACGTTTTAGTGATCAGAATGTATTAAGCATAGCAGTATATATGTATCTTGTAATATAATCTTCAAGTTTTTAAAACTAATATTCTTCGTTAATAAAAAAACTGAAAATTTTCAGGCAACAGGTACAAAAATGCCTAAGTTGATGAAAGAAATTAAAAAGGCTGTAAAGCGAATTATATTTCTGTTGGATCATGCTATTCTTTCAGGTAAAAGATGTTATTATCATTTTCTTAAAATAGTTATTTTGTTGTACATTTTCTTACGAAGGTTGTTTTAACTATCTCTTATGAAAATATTGCATACTGAAAATATTTTTAACCTTATTATCTATATCTGGATATTAAAATTCATATTTTTATATGTTATATCAATCACCTTTAAATCTGCTGCTCTGATACAGGAAAATTTCATTTAGTAAATCTGGAAGACATATTTTAAATGAAGACTTTTTGTGCTGTAGAAAAGGTTTTCTTTAAACATGATGTGTAATAAAATACTATAAGCCAGTTCATACATATTAACCAATATTCACTGATATATTGCCTTCATTTATTAGTGCCTTTTGGTAATGAAATATATTTTCAAGTCCAGCAGATCAATGGAACAAGTGTTTTTTTTTTTTTTTTTTTTTTTTATGCCCAGTGCGTATTGTTTTGTAATCATATTTAAAATCACATCAGATTGTAAATCTCCACAGTTTTTTTTCTAGCAATTTGTTAGTTGTTGTTGACATTACTTTTCCATCATATATCATCTGTTGCATACAATTCCATTGCATAAAAACTGCAACACTCACAACTTTTGGGCAAAGTATCATATGCTTGTTTATAATGGATGGCTTCTGTTTCATTTTTGGAAAATATAGTAAACACATGATATTAAATGAAATAAAAATTAATATTTTATGAATAAATTTTTTCCTGGTCAGGTTACCTAAAAAATGATGTGATGCAAATGTGTATTTCCTTTAATTGGTCTAAAGTTGAAATAAAAAAAGCTGTCCACACCTTTCTTTAGTCAAAAAAAAGGGGGGGAAAGAAATAAAAATCTCATCTAGAATAATCCAGAATAACTTCTAGGGTTGCCAGATGCTCACAGGAATCAATCAGGAGTGGTATTTTTTCTGATGTAACCAATGAAGAACAATGAACAAGTACCTGTATGCCTCCAATTGCATAACTGTTGTCATTTTTTTCAATTGCCTTTAGACTGGTCACGGTTTATGAAAAAAAAAATGTGATGCATAGTGATCATTTTAACTAATGCCTTGGTTATCTGCATTGCTTTCATGAATACCTGCTACTGAATTGTTAAAATATACTGTTTGACAATTACTAAGGAAAACAGCCTTTTTTGAAGTAATTAATAACAAACACTGATTGAAGAAATGAAACTTCATAATTAGTAAAGGTACTGTGCATTATTTACATTATTTATTGTGCAAACAGATTTTGCCACATGTAAAAAGAAGGTAATAAAAAAAAAAGATTTTCATTGGAGCAATTTCGAAGAGTCACAGAAAATGCTCCTTTCTGCTTCAGTGATGACTTATAAATCCTTCAGAAGGGTGTGTGATCTTCTTGTATACTAATGTATGTTTTATATCTTATGTATGCTTTCTACATATTATGTCCAACAGACAGAATTTGGAGGGATATTGTTCCATTTATCACTCAAGGTGATTTTGAGCTCCTGCAACATTTGGAGAACACGATTTCTTCATGTAACATATCTACTGAAAATGTCACAGGCATGTTATATGGAATTTGAGTCTGGTGAATATGCAAGCCATCTCATGCATTCAGCACCTTCCCTTTAGAGCAGTGTTTACCAACCTTTTTTATGTTATACCCCACCTAATCCTCTCTAAATTTCGTATGCTCCCCCTAGTACATGCATAATTTTTAATATTCAAAAGTTCACGAAAGAAATTTGAATGATAGGTTTAAGAAGAAATCCTAGGAAATTTTGTGAGCAAACACAGTAAATAAACTTTTAAAACATATAATGGGGAACTGAAATTCAAGTACAACATTATTTTAATGGAAGTTTTTTCTATGTTATTTTAAGTATTAGTAATTCAAATCATTTATAGCACTTGTAGAGAAGAGACATTAAGTACTTTTTTTAAATCAGGAAGTTGAAGAAATAAGCATTGACCTCGCCGACTCTTGAATATTCTTTGAGCGTGCTGACACTTCATGATGGCATGCTAAGAAGACGGGAGAAATACTTCATGTACTCTCCTTTTTAAAAGGTGATTGGGGATTAAGAGACCCAGTTGCCAAATCCTGGTGGTAGAGGATCGTCATCCACTATCATCTTCTTTTTTTTTTTTTTTTTGTTGTTGAATGTTTAAAATGCCATGATTCGAAAAACAAACATTTATTACAGAACAATATGCAAAGAGAGACAACGAAGATCATATGCTTTGTTATAGTTTCAGAGCGTGAAGCGCTCTTTTACTATGTTTCATATGTAGGCATATCAGGAACTAGAGTTCGTTAGTGAGCTGTTCGAGACTGGTGATTGAGTTTTGAATTGAGGTAGGCCGTTCTTTAATCGGCGAGGCGATGGTGGCAAAGCCACACTAGTTTAGCAGCGAAGTGTGAGCAATTGTAGTAATTTTGTTGACTGGTAGCGGTAGTGACGGTATCCGTATTAATGCCGGCGTTAAGAGGCAAGTGTATGTGCTGGATACCTGTGTTTTTCAACAGGGATTGGAGTTTATCGAAGACTTGAAATTTCTGGGTTATGATGGAATTGAACTGATTGAAAGAAGTTGGTGGAAAGTAGACGTATATCTTCTGCTATGGTATGGATTTTGAGATCAGTGTGAATGGTGTTATTTGGAATGAACCATGGTGCATTTACTATCTCACGAAGCATTTTATTTTGGAGAATTTGTAGTTTTTTTATGTGCATTTTTGCCGCTTGTCCCCAGATAGGGCAGGCATAGAGAAGAGCAGGTCTGAGTATCATTTTGTAATAGTACAATTTTGTTGGGTATTGAGAGTACACTGTGTCTGCCTAAGAGTGGTCGCATAGTGGCCGCTGTCATTTTAAATTTTTCCGTGACGGCACCGAAGTGTTGCCTAAAGGTAAGTTTACTATCCAGAGTGATCCCAAGGTATTTCACCTCGGGGACCCATTCAATATCATCATAAAAAAATTGGGGAGGTGCTGGGGTGTAATTGGAGGTACCTTTGCGAAAGATTATTGCTTTTGATTTATTAGTATTTATGGCAATTCTCCAAAGCGTGAACCAGTGCTCGAGTGCTAATAGATAATGCTGTAATTGAAGTCGAATGTGATTTGTATGTATTGCCCTCGTGAGAATGGCCGTATCGTCAGCGAAGAGTGCCAGTGTAATAGTGGCATCTTTGGGTATGTCATATGTATAAATTTTATAAAGTAGAGGGGAAAGAACTGCGCCCTGGAGGACTCCAGCTGTGATGGGTCGCGTGGAGGAGTGCGTATTGCGAATTTTGATAGTAAATGTGCGATTTCTAAGATAGGAAGCTATTAGTCGAATAAGATGATCGGGAAAGTCCAATTTGATAAGTTTGTAAATGAGACCTTTGTGCCATACTCTGTCAAAGGCTTTTGACACGTCTAAGAAAATTGCTTCCAGTGGGAATTTTGGCATTGAAACCATCTGTAATATAATTGATGACTCTTAGAAAGTTGATGCGTAGTACTGTGTGAGTGATGAAAACCAAACTGATCTGAGGGTGTATAATGGCTGACTGGAATGTTTTTGTGAATATAATACAAAATAATTTTTTCCGTGATTTTGGATAGACTGCTTAGCAGGCTTATTGGCCTGTAGTTCTGTGGGAAATGTATTATTTTGCTTGGGTTTTGGGAAAACTGAGATAGAATCTTTTTTCCAAGCTGGTGGGAAATACGAGTATTTAATAATGGCATTGATAAGTTTAGTAAGATAAGTAATCCCATTTATGGGGAGATTTTTTTAATGCTTTGTTTGGTATGCTGTCTTGGCCAGAAGCCTTTTTATTTTTAAGTGCACTGATAAATTGAAGCAACAAAGTGTTGGTGTGGCAAGAAAGGTGAAATTAAGTGGAGCCGGAATGCCAAGATAGTAGTTATCAACCACTGAGTTGACGTGCAATATGATCATTGTCATAAGGGGCTGGATTTGGAGTAAATGAGTCTTGAATGACATCTGCAATTGTGTTGGCCTTGTCTAGGTCAGAGTTAGCCATTCCCGACGGTCCATGTAAGGGGGGATTTGCTTATAGGGAGTTTTTGAGTTTACGAGAGATGTCGTACAGTGAGTTATCTTCAGTGGCTAATGTATTTATAAAATTTGTCCATTTGCTTTATTTCTATACTCCTTGATTGCTCTTTTGATGCTATTTTGAAGTGAGTTGAGTCTGCGTTTGGCC